AGATTGCTGTGAGCTGTGATGCCACAGCACTCTATGGAGGGTGATAAAGTGAGACTCTTTCTCTAAAAGAAAAGAAAAGAAAATTAGCTGGGTATTGTGGCAGGCACTTGTAGTCCCAGCTACTCTGGAAGCTGAGAAAGTAGGATCCCTTAGACCCAGGAGTTTGAGGTTTCTGTGAGCTAAGGCTGATACTACAGCACTCTAGCCTGGGCAACAGAGTGAGACTCTGGCTCAAACCCAACAAACAACAACAAAACTAGCTGGGAGAGGTGGCTTGAGCCTGAAGTCTCCTCCTTGGGAGGCTGAGGCAGGAGGAATGGTTGAGCTCAGGAGTTTGAGGCTGCAGAGAGCTATAATCACACCAGCGCACTCCAGAGTCTGACCAACAGAGCAAGACTCTTGTCTTAAAAAAAAAAAAAGCAAACCCAAGAGTTTCCCATTACCTATCTCACAATATTGGAAGTCCTTGTCTTAACAGAGGTCATTCCAAAGTGACCACTCTAGCCTGCCTTTTCAGCTTCATTTCCCATCTACTCTTTTCACTTATTCAACAAATGTTTACCATGGACTTGTTACCTGCCAGGTCTTGTGATGTGCATATGAATTACCAACCACGTGGTGGTTCCTGCCTTCAAGAGATTTATATCTGAGGGGGGCAGGGAACTAAGCTAATAATTATAGATCAGTGTGAGGGCCTCAATAAAGGTTAGCTCAGTATTTGGGAGGAGTATGTGGGCAAGCACCCTAACTCGACCTAGGAGATCAGACACAGGTGGAAAATGAGCTGAGATGTGAAGGATGAGTGCATTACACAAGAAGAGGGGAATCTGTCATCCCCACAGGAAGGGGCAGCAAGGGCAAAGGCAGGGGGTGCAAAACCAGCTCTTCATTGCACATGTGCTCACGGAGTGCCCCTTAGGTGCCAGGTGCTGCTCTGAGTGCCGGGAGATAGCAGTGAATAAGATACCAGGTGAGGCCTTTGCCCTCAGGGAGCTGACAGCCCACAAATGGAAAATGTGAAAATTCAGGTTGATATGAGGAGTTGTTCTAGCATGGGGGCCCATGAATAGCTGCAGTCTCATGGACAGGGTTCAAGAATGCCTTGAAATTTGAATGTAAAAATGTATTTTCTTTTTTTTTTTTTTTTGAGACAGAGCCTCAAG